GGTGACAGCGACACTGGGGGGTGACAGCGACACTGGGGGTGACAGCGACACGAGGGGGGGTGACAGCGACACTGGGGGGTGACAGCGACAGGGGGTGACAGCGACACTGGGGGTGACAACGACACGGGGGGTGACAGCGGCACTGGGGGTGGCAGCGACACTCGGGGGTGACAGCGACACTCGGGGGTGACAGCGACACTGGGGGTGACAGCGACATTGGGGGTGACAGCGACATTGGGGGTGACAGCGACACTCGGGGGGTGACAGCGACACTCGGGGGTGACAGCGACATTGGGGGTGACAGCGACACGGGGGGTGACAGCGACACGGGGGTGGCAGCGACACGGGGGAGTGACAGCGACACGGGGGTGGCCCCGAGCCTTTGTTTGTTGTTTTGGTGACGTTTCCCGGGAAACGGGAGCGGTGCCAGCGCCACCCGCTGTCCCCTCCCGGCGACACCGGCGACAATGCTGAGGTCACCCCCTCCCCCCCAGAGCTGTCCCCGTGTCGCCAGAGCCAGGCCACTGCCACCACCACAGCTCCCATGTCCCACTGCCACCACTGCCAGCTGTCCCCCTGTCACCACAGTGTCCCCCTGTCACCACTGCCACTGTCCCCATCACCAGACACTGTCCCCCTGTCACCACAGTGTCCCCCTGTCACCACTGCCACTGTCCCCATCACCAGACACTGTCCCCATCACCAGACACTGTCCCCCTGTCACCACAGTGTCCCCTGCCACCACACTGTCCCCTTGTCATCACAGTGTCCCCTGCCACCACAGTGTCCCCTGTCACCACAGTGTCCTCATGCCACCACTGACACTGTCCCCTGTCACCACAGTGTCCCCTGTCACCACAGTGTCCCCCTGTCACCACAGTGTCCTCATGCCACCACTGCCACTGTCCCCCTCACCAGACACTGTCCCCCTGTCACCACACTGTCCCCTTGTCACCACAGTGTCCTCCTGCCACCACTGCCACTGTCCCCATCACCAGACACTGTCCCCCTGTCACCACAGTGTCCCCTGTCACCACACTGTCCCCATAACCAGACACTGTCACCACAGCCATCCTGTGTGACACCTCTGTCCCCTTGTGTGACACTGTCACTGCTGCCACAGCCACCCTGTGTGACACTGTCACTGCTGTCCCCTGTGTGACACCACTGTCCCCCTGTGTGACACTGTCACTGCTGCCACAGCCACCCTGTGTGACACTGTCACTGCTGTCCCCTGTGTGACACTGTCACCACAACCATCCTGTGTGACACTGTCACTGCTGCCACCCTGTGTGACACCGCTGTCCCCCTGTGTGACACTGTCACTGCTGCCACCCTGTGTGACACCGCTGTCCCCTGTGTGACACTGTCACCACAGCCCTCCTGTGTGACACCACTGCCACCTGTGTGACACCCCTGTCCCCTGTGTGACACTGTCACTGCTGCCACTCTGTGTGACACTGTCACCACAACCACCCTGTGTGACACCACTGTCCCCCTGTGTGACACTGTCACTGCTACCACCCTGTGTGACACTGTCACCACAGCCCTCCTGTGTGACACTGTCACTGCTGTCACCCTGTGTGACACCCCTGTCCCCTGTGTGACACTGTCACTGCTGTCCCCACCACAGCCACCACAACCACGCTGTCACTGCGGAGCCCCCGTGTCCCCGTGTCACCAGAGCCACCCTGTCCCCACCACAGCCACCACAGCCACCACAGCCACCACGGCCACCACAGCCACGTCCCCACGCAGCCCCCGTGTCCCCCTGTCCCCACCACAGCCACCACAGCCACCACAGCCACCACAGCCACGTCCCCACACAGCCCCCGTGTCCCCCTGTCACCAGAGCCACCACAGCCACCACAGCCATGTCCCCACGCAGCCCCCGTGTCCCCCTGTCCCCACAGCCACCACAGCCACCACAGCCATGTCCCCACGCAGCCCCCGTGTCCCCCTGTCACCAGAGCCACCCTGTCCCCACCACGGCCACCACAGCCATGTCCCCACGCAGCCCCTGTGTCCCCCTGTCCCCACCACGGCCACCACGGCCACCACAGCCACCACAGCCACCACAGCCATGTCCCCACGCAGCCCCGCGTCCCCCTGTCCCCAGAGCCACCCTGTCCCCACCACAGCCACCACAGCCACCACAGCCATGTCCCCACGCAGCCCCGTGTCCCCTGTCCCCACCCGGCCACCACAGCCATGTCCCCACGCAGCCCCGTGTCCCCTGTCCCCACCACAGCCACCACAGCCATGTCCCCACGCAGCCCCCGTGTCCCCCTGTCACCACCACGGCCACCACAGCCACCACAGCCATGTCCCCACGCAGCCCCCGTGTCCCCTGTCCCCACCACGGCCACCACAGCCATGTCCCCACGCGGCCCTCGTGTCCCCCTGTCACCACCACAGCCACCACAGCCACCACAGCCATGTCCCCACGCAGCCCCCGTGTCCCCCTGTCCCCACCACAGCCACCACAGCCATGTCCCACACAGCCCCGTGTCCCCTGTCACCAGAGCCACCACAGCCATGTCCCCACGCAGCCCCAGTGTCCCCCTGTCCCCACAGCCACCACAGCCACCACAGCCATGTCCCCACGCAGCCCCGTGTCCCCCTGTCCCCTGTCCCCATCAGAGCCACCACAGCCATGTCCCCACGCAGCCCCCGTGTCCCCTGTCACCAGAGCCACCCTGTCCCCACCACAGCCACCACAGCCATGTCCCCACGCAGCCCCCGTGTCCCCCTGTCACCAGAGCCACCACAGCCATGTCCCCACGCAGCCCCGTGTCCCCTGTCACCAGAGCCACCACAGCCATGTCCTCACGCAGCCCCTGTGTCCCCTGTCACCACCACGGCCACCACAGCCACCACAGCCATGACCCACGCAGCCCCGTGTCCCCCTGTCACCAGAGCCACCCCTGTCCCCACCACACAGCCACCACAGCCACCACAGCCACCACAGCCATGTCCCCACGCAGCCCCCGTGTCCCCCTGTCACCAGAGCCACCCCTGTCCCCACCACAGCCACCACAGCCACCACAGCCACCACAGCCATGTCCCCACGCAGCCCCCGTGTCCCCCTCCTGGCTCGGTGCCACCCCGGGGAGTTCTGAGTACCACTCGAGGGGAGGAGGGTTGGGAGGGTGTTTGGTGCCACCCGGGGGCGTTTCGGTGCCACCGCGGGAACAGTCAGTGCCACCCTCGGGGAGGGCTCAGTGTCACCCCCGGGGTCCCGGTGCCACCCCCGAGAGGGTCTCGGTGTCACTCCCAGGGGCTCGGTGCCACCCTCGGGGTGGAGGTGCCACTCGGGGCTCGGTGCCACTCCCGGGGGCTCGGTGCCACTCCCAGGGTCTCAGTGCCCCCCCAAGGGGGTCTTGATGTCACTCCCAGGGGTTCGGTGCCCCTCCCAGGGTCTCGGTGCCCCCCCAAGGGTCCCGGTGCCACCCCCAGGGATTCGGTGCCACCCCCGGGGTGGTGTCGGTGCCCCTCCCAGGGTCTCAATGCCACCCCCAGGGTCTCGGTGCCCCTCCCAGGGTGGTGCCTCCCCAGGGTGTCCAGTGCCCTCCCAGGGTCTCGGTGCCCTTCCCAGGGTCTCGGTGCCCCTCCCAGGGTATTAATGCCCCCCCCGGGGGTGTCCCGGTGCCCCTCCCAGGGTCTCGGTGCCCTTCCCAGGGTCTCAGTGCCACCCCCGGGGGAGTCTCGGTGCCCTTCCCAGGGTCTCGGTGCCACCCCCGGGGGAGTCTCGGTGCCATTCCCAGGGTCTCGGTGCCCCCCCCGGGGGTGTCCCGGTGCCCCTCCCAGGGTCTCGGTGCCACCCACAGGGTCTCAGTGCCACCCCCGGGGGTCCCAGTGCCCTCCCAGGGCTCGGTGCCCCTCCCAGGGTTCAGTGCCACTCCCAGGGTCTCGGTGCCACCCCCGGGGGGGTCTCGGTGTCAATCCGAGGGTCTCGGTGCCACCCCCGGGGGGGTCTCGGTGTCAATCCGAGGGGCTCGGTGTCACCCCCGGGGGTGTCTCGGTGTCCCTCCCAGGGGCTCGGTGTCACTCCCAGGGTCTTGATGTCACTCCCAGGGGCTCGGTGCCCTCCCAGGGTCTCAATGCCAGCGCCCCAGGGACTTGGTGCCACCCCCAGGGGGTCTCAGTGTCCTCCCAGGGTCTCAGTGCCACCCCCGGGGGGGTCTCGGTGCCCCTCCCAGAGGCTCGATGTCACCCCCAGGGTCTCAATGCCACCCCCAGGGGGGTGTCGATGTCACTCCCAGGGTCTCGGTGCCACCCCCAGGAGCTCGGTGCCACCCCCAGGGATTTGGTGCCACCCCCGGGGGGGTCTCGGTGCCCCTCCCAGGGTCTCAATGCCATCCCCAGGGTCTCGGTGCCCCTCCCAGGGGCTCGGTGCCACCCCCGGGGGGGTCTCAGTGCCACCCCGGGGTGTCAGTGCCTCTCCCAGGAGCTCGGTGCCCCTCCCAGGGTCTCGGTGCCCCTCTCAGGGTCTCGGTGCACCTCCCAGGGTCTCAGTGCCACCCCCAGGGATTTGGTGCCACCCCCGGGGGGGTGTCGGTGCCCCTCCCAGGGATTCAGTGCCCCTCCCAGGGTCTCAATGCCACCCCCAGGGGGGTCTCGGTGCCACCCCCGGGGGGATGTCGGTGCCCCTCCCAAGATCTCGGTGCCACCCTCAGAGGGGTCTCGGTGCCACCCCCAGGGATTTAGTCCCACCCCCATGGGGGTCTCGGTGCCCCTCCCAGGGTCTCAATGCCACCCCCGGGGGGGTCTCGGTGCCCCTCCCAGGGTCTCACTGCCACCCTCAGAGGGGTCTCGGTGCCCCTCCCAGGGTCTCGGTGCCCTTCCCAGGGTCTCGATGCCACCCCCGGGGGAGTCTCGATGTCACTCCCAGGGTCTCAATGCCCCCCCCGGGGGTGTCCCGGTGCCCCTCCCAGGAGCTCGGTGCCCCTCCCAGGGTCTCAATGCCCCCCCCGGGGGTGTCCCGGTGCCCCTCCCAGAGTCTCAGTGCCTCCCAGGGTCTCAGTGCCCCCCCCGGGGGTGTCCCGGTGCCCCTCCCCGGGGCTCGGTGCCAGCTCCGGTCCCGCCCCGGGGGAGGGCGGTGCCGGGCGGTGCCGGGGCCGCCCCCGCCCGCGGTGACATCAGCCCTGAAAAGGGCGCGGGCGGCGGCGACATCCGGCACTGCCACCCCGGGGACAGCGACACCGGCGCCTCAGGTAGGGCACGAACCCCCCCGGGCAACCGGGCACGACCCCACGTCAACCGGGCACGACCCCGGCCACCGGCACGACCCCGGGCACCGGGCACGACCCCCAGCAACCGGGCACGACCCCGGGGCACCGACACTGGCACGACCCCCCGGCAACCGGGCACGACCCCCCGGGCACGACCCCCGGCAACCGGGCACGACCCCGGGCACGACCCCGGGGCACCGGCACCGGGCACGACGCCCGGGGCACCGGCACCGGGCACGACCCCCCTGGCAACCGGGCACGACCCCGGGCACGACCCCCGGGCACTGGCACCGGCACGACCCCTGGTAACCGGGCACGACCCCGGGCACCGGGCGCGACCCCCGGCAACCGGGTACGACCCCGGGGCACCGGCACCGGCACGACCCCCGGCAGCCGGGCACGACCCCCGGGCAACCGGGCTGACCCGGGCACCGGGCACGACCCCCACGGGACACGCGGAGCCCCCACGGGACACGCGGAGACCCCACGGGCACCGCGGAGCCCCCACACGGAGCACGCGGAGACCCCACGGGCACGCGGACGCCCCCTGGGACACGCAGAGCCCCGGGACACGCAGAGCCCCTGCACCGGGACACGGAGCCCCCTGGGACACCGGCACGACCCCCACGGGACACTCGGAGCACCACGGGACACGCGGAGCCCCCACGGGACACGCGGAGCCCCCTGGGACACGCAGAGCCCCCACGGGACACGCGGAGCCCCCATGGGACACGCGGGCCCCCCGGGACACGCGGAGCCCCACGGGACACTCAGAGCCCCACGGGACACGCGGGGCCCCCTGGGACACGCGGAACCCCCATGGGACACGCGGAGCCCCCACGGGACACGCGGAACCCCCTGGGACACGCGGAGCCCCCCGGGACACGCGGAGCCCCACGGGACACGCGGAGCCCTCCACGGGACACGCGGAACCCCCTGGGACACGCGGAGCCCCCTGGGACACGCAGAGCCCCCACGGGACACTCGGAGCCCCCACGGGACACGCAGAGCCCCCGGGACACTCAGAGCCCCCGGGACACTGGAACCCCCTGGGACACGCGGGGCCCCCTGGGACACTCGGAGACCCCCACGGGACACGCGGAACCCCCACGGGACACGCGGAACCCCCACGGGACACTCGGAGACCCCCACGGGACACGCGGAGCCCCCATGGGACACGCGGAGCCCCCTGGGACACGCGAGCCCCCGGGACACTCGGAGCCCCACCCGGGAAACAGGACACGGGTGGGGCTTCCGGCCCTTCCCGCGGGGGACACGGGAGAGGTCACGGGGGGTCTGGACCCTTCCCTGTGTCCCCAGGGGGTCCCCGTGACGCGTCCCCCCCAAGGGACCCCCTGATTCCCCACCCGGGGTCCCCTCCCCGGGGGTCTCTGGGGGTCCCCAGGGTGATCGTGTCGTGGGTACAAGCCCCCAAACCCCTCCCTGTGCCCCCGGGGTCTCTGGGGGTCCCCAGGGTGGTCGTGTCGTGGGTCCAGCCCCCAAACCCCTCCCCGATGCCCCCGGGTGTCTCTGGGGACCTCAGGGTGCTCGTGTCCCCTCCCTGCTGCCCCCGGGGTGTTTTGGGGGTCCCCAGGGTGCCCGTGCCCCCTCCCTGCTGCCCCCCGGGGTGTTTTGGGGGTCCCCAGGGTGCCCGTGCCCCCTCCCCGAAGCCCCGGGCTGTTTGGGGGTCCCCAGGGTGGCCTGTGCCCCTCCCTGAAGCCCCCGGGGTGTTTTGGGGTCCCCAGGGTGCCCGTGCCCCCTCCCCGTAGTCCCCGGGGTGTTTTGGGGGTCCCCAGGGTGCTCGTGCCCCTCCCCGATGCCCCCGGGCTGTCTGGGGTCCCAGGTGCCCGTGCCCTCCCCGTGTCCCCCTGGGTGTTTGGGGTCCCCAGGGTGCCCGTGCCCCCTCCCGAAGCCCCCAGGGTGTTTTGGGGTTCCCAGGGTGCCCGTGCCCCCTCCCGAAGCCCCTGGGGTGTTTTGGGGTCCCCAGGGTGCCTGTGCCCCTCCCTGCTGCCCCCTGGGGTGTTTTGGGGTCCCCAGGTGCCTGTGCCCCCTCCCCGAAGCCCCCCGGGGTGTTTTGGGGGTCCCCAGGGTGGTCGTGCCCCCTCCCCGAAGCCCCCCGGGGTGTTTTGGGGGTCCCCAGGGTGCCCGTGCCCCCTCCCCGTGTCCCCCCGGGGTGTTTTGGGGGTCCCCAGGGTGCCCGTGCCCCCTCCCTGAAGCCCCCCGGGGTGTTTTGGGGGTCCCCAGGGTGCCCGTGCCCCCTCCCCGAAGCCCCCCGGGCTGTCTTGGGGGTCCCCAGGGTGGTCGTGCCCCCTCCCCGAAGCCCCCCGGGGTGTTTTGGGGGTCCCCAAGGTGCCCGTGCCCCCTCCCCGAAGCCCCCCGGGGTGTTTTGGGGTCCCCAGGGTGGCCGTGCCCCTCCCCGAAGCCCCCGGGGTGTTTTGGGGTCCCCAGGGTGACCCTGAGCTGGCCCGATCCTCCCCGTGTCCCCCACGAGGGGTCCCCTCCCTGCTCACCCCCAGGGGGGTCTCTGGGGGTCCCCAGGGTGGTCGTGCCCCCTCCCCGATGCCCCCCGGGGGTCTTTGGGGACATCAGGGTGGTCGTGTCGTGGGTTCAACCCCCCCAAACCCCTCCCTGATGCCCCCGGGGTGTTCTGGGGTCCCCAGGGTGCCCGTGCCCCTCCCCGTGCCCCCAGGGTGTTTTGGGGGTCCCCAGGGTGCCCGTGCCCCCTCCCCGTGTCCCCCCCGGGGTGTTTTGGGGGTCCCCAGGGTGCCCGTGCCCCCTCCCCGTGGCCCCCCGGGGTGTTTTGGGGGTCCCCAGGGTGCCCGTGCCCCCTCCCTGCTGCCCCCCGGGGTGTTTTGGGGGTCCCCAGGGTGCCCGTGCCCCCTCCCGAAGCCCCCGGGGTGTTTTGGGGGTCCCCAGGGTGGCGGTGCCCCCTCCCCGAAGCCCCCCGGGGTGTTTTGGGGGTCCCTAGGGTGGTCGTGTCCCCTCCCTGCTCCCCCCCCGGGCTGTCTGGGGGTCCCCAGGGTGGTCGTGCCCCCTCCCCGAAGCCCCCCGGGGTGTTTTGGGGTCCCAAGGTGCCCGTGCCCCCTCCCGTGTCCCCCGGGGTGTTTTGGGGTCCCCAGGGTGCCTGTGCCCTCCCCGTGCCCCCTGGGTGTTTTGGGGTCCCCAGGGTGGTCGTGCCCCCTCCCCGATGTCCCCCAGGGTGTTTTGGGGGTCCCCAGGGTGCCTGTGCCCCCTCCTTGCTGCCCCCAGGGTGTTTTGGGGGTCCCCAGGGTGCCTGTGCCCCTCCCGAAGCCCCCGGGGTGTTTTGGGGTCCCCAGGGTGGCGGTGCCCCTCCCCGAAGCCCCCAGGGTGTTTTGGGGTCCCCAGGGTGGTCGTGTCCCCCTCCCTGCTGCCCCCGGGCTGTCTTGGGGTCCCCAGGGTGGTCGTGCCCCCTCCCTGATGCCCCCGGGTGTTTTGGGGTCCCCAGGGTGCCCGTGCCCCCTCCCTGCTGCCCCCGGGGTGTTTTGGGGGTCCCCAGGGTGGCTCGTGCCCCTCCTCGCTCCCCCGGGGTGTTTTGGGGTCCCCAGGTGCCAGTGCCCCTCCCGATGCCCCCGGGGTGTTTTGGGGTCCCCAGGGTGGCCGTGCCCCCTCCCTGCTGCCCCCCGGGGTGTTTTGGGGGTCCCCAGGGTGCCCGTGCCCCCTCCCTGCTGCCCCCCGGGGTGTCTGGAGGTCCCCAGGGTGCCTGTGTCCCCCGGGGTGTTTTGGGGTCCCCAGGGTGGCCGTGCCCTCCCCGAAGCCCCCTGGGGTGTCTGGGGGTCCCAGGGTCTCCCTGTGCTGTCCCCTCCCCCCATCGCTGTCGTCACCGGGGTCCCCAGCGTGTCGCGATCCCCACGGGAGGTGGGCACAGCCCCACTCAGGGGTCTGTCTGTCCTGCGTGGTTCCCCCCGAGCTGGGGGTGGTCGGGGTCCCCACGGGGTGTTTTGGGGGTCTCCAGGGCAGCGTGGTCGGGTCTGGTGTGTCCCCTCCTCCTCCCGGCGCCTCCCGGGCAAGCCCCGGCTGGGTCGGGAAATGATCCCATTCCCAGATCCTTTGTTTCCTAATCCCTTGGCCCCCGGCCGGGCACTCCCACAACCCACCCAGTGGCCACTCCCTAGCGAGGGGCACCCCTGCCACCCTTCATACCCGGGGCACCCCTGCCCCTTCCCCCTCCCCATGCTTGGGGGCACCCTGTCACCCCCCCATACCTGGGGCACCCCTGCCACCCCATTCATACCTGGGGCACCCTGCCACTCCCCATACCTGGGGCACCCCTGCCACCTTCCCTGCCCTCATACCCGGGGGCACCCTGCCACTCTCCATACCCGGGGCACCCCTGCCACCCCCATACCCAGGGGGCACCCCTGTCACCCCCATACCCGGGGCAACCCCTGCCACCTCCCCATGCTCGGGGCACCCCTGCCCCTTCTCCCTCCCCATGCCCGGGGGCACCCCTGCCACCCCTTCATACCTGGGGCACCCTGCCCCCTTCTCCTCCCCCATGCCCGGGGCACCCCTGCCCCCTTCCCCCTCCCCCATACCCGGGGCACCCCTGCCACCCCATACCTGGGGCACCCCTGCCACCCCTTCATGCCTGGGGCACCCCTGCCACCCCTCATACCTGGGGCACCCCTGCCACTCCCCCATACCCGGGGCACCCTGCCACCTCCCCATACCTGGGGCACCCCTGCCACCCCCATACCCGGGGCACCCCTGCCAACCCCCCAAAATTGGACCCCAAAGTGGCACCCCTGCCCTGCATGGGTTGTGGGGTGCTCTCAAATGCCCTCCCCTCTCCCCTCAAATGGCACTGGTGGGCACGGGGGCACACAGAGGGGCACAGGGATTGGGAGGGGGTCAGAGCCCCCCAATTTGGGGGGCAGGGCAGTGCCACCCCACCCACGTGTCCGGGGAGGTGACACAACCCCGTTGTCCCCAAGGGTGGCACTGCTCCAGGTGGCACTTTGGCCTGGGTGGGGTCCTGCCACCCTGCCAGGGTGGGCACACCCCTTTTCCCCCTTTCCCCCCTTTTCCAGAGGTTTCCGTGCCAATCCCGGATCTGGGAGGTGGCTCCTGGCACGGGGTGGGGAGGGGGATCTCACCCTCCTCCTCACCCTCCCCCTCCCCCCCACCCCTGCCCATCGGGGGGGTCCCAGGGGGGGTCCCTGCCCACCTTTGGGGGTTCCCCCGGGGTGCTGGGGGTGGGCACAGCCCCCTTTGTGCCCCCCGGGCTCAGGGCGGGCTGGGCAGGAAGAGGGCAGAGCTCTGGCAGCGCCTGCAGGGGCAGATAAAGC